ATAAAAATAAAATAAGACATATCTCGGCTGATTTACAGGCAAATAAACTAACATACTCAAGAGCGAGAGCCGGATGTGAACGGGACAAGGCCCCATCACAAAATGACCATTATCTTCGTTTATGCATAGGCCCGACGCACGAGTTCTGGTCGAAAAATAAAATAATATTTTAAAGTGTTTCTATTTTTCGACCAATAAAAATGCTTCCCTCCTAATTATACTCACGTCGTTTTTCGAGCCTGTTAAGCCATAAAAAACGCCATAAAAGGGGTCACACGGGGAAGTACAACAGCAGTCAACAGGAGGCCAGGGAAGAGACCTGTCACGGTCAGGCTGGGCAGTCAGCAGGAGGAGCGCCACGCCAACCAGTGAGAACTACTATGAGAGATCAACCCAGATCTTCAGCCAGCCTATGAACTATACCACAAGGTAGCTGTCCCAAAACCACATTTCCTATTGAAATAAATCATGTAAATCTATTTCTGCTGTTGTCGTATTTCTTTCTTGCAACCATACGCTTGTCTATATGCCCAATCACTTTAGAGAGGACCTTTCAAAATCCCAAAAGGCATCACAAGTAGTATGTATATGAGTGTGTGTTAAAAATGTTGACTAAAAAGGTGGGATTCAATGAATAATGAATGTTTTCCCTATAAACAATGTGTTACCATAATACAGGGACAGTAATGTTTATGTTGGGATGTAAATATGAAAAAAGAGAAAAAAAAATGAAGTTCTTCAGTTCTACTTTGCAATTATTCCAGAGATTCTTAAATGGTGCGCCAGGGTGCACTGGTGCACCCGGGAAGATGTCTAGGTGCACACTGGCATTCCAGAGAAATTTCAGATATAAGAAGTAAATATATTTACTTTATTATATTGTAGTACCCGTCTCGTTGCAGATAGTCCTCAAGGAAAGCTTCAATGATAGTAAGCATTTGTTTTGCTGTATTGAACTGGTAGGAGTTGCTGGTCAGTCCTCCATGTCTAGTTTGAGAAAGTTGATTACTAAAAGACATATTATGTAACATAAAATGATGATGAGGATTAGGATTGTTTATTTAAAAGTTGTCTTCTTACCGGAAGTTGTCTTACTTTCATAGTAATTTATCATTTATAATTTATCACTTATTTGTTTATAAGCAAATGTGATAAATTAGTTATTTTATCATAAACACGTCAATTACTTATTCTATGTAGTGGGTGCACTGCAATATCATTTCTAAATTAAAAATGCAAAAGATTTCAGTCTGCGCTAAACTATTCTTTTCTTTTTTCATTCAAAGAAAACATTTAAAATTTGACTCGGCTACTGAGCAGATTTCTGCAAATCAACCATTAAATATCATTGAAGCACATCTTTCAGATTTTCTAGGGAATTTCATGATAAAACTTTAGAAAGATTTAAATTAGCAACACTTCATCAAACAGACTGTCATAGAAAGTCATTTAATTATAAAAAGAGTTCAATTAGCCTAATTACATTTTTGTTTCATTTTTTGGGTAATTTATTCTCCACCCCCATATATAAAAATAACATTACAGTATTATTTAAATTCAAATATGGTAATTTTCCTCAGAAATTTGTACATCTCTGCCAACCAAGCATGTGCCAGTGTGGCTCTAACAGGTGCTAAAAGTGGAAGTACTACTTATTTTCAGATAAATACACCCATACAAAATGGATAGGTTTCTTAAAAAGAAGCGTGATATTGAAGAATCCGAGTCTGGAAATGAACAAAACATAAGTGCAAGTAAGAAAGCAAAACCGCAGGTTACTCACAAATACAATAAAAGTTATTTTGTGACACTATTTGACACTGGTAAATGGAAAGAAGTGGTTAAATAAAAAAAAATAACAATAGAATGAAGGAAAGACCAAGAAAAAGAATGAAGACTTCTCTTTTCCAGAGAAGAGAAAAACCTTAATTCTCTAAAACCAGAAAAATTACTTAAGGAAAAGTGATATTACAAGAAGCTATGTGGCGATCTAGCTCCAAAAGCATCAGTTATGAAAACATAATATATGATGGATAAGATTTGATGTATAACTGAATCTCGAGAATAGTTTCTTTGTGGTTGGAGTGCAATGACCTTAGCGGGGCTTGGGAGGATAGCTGCCTGAGATATGAACATTTGCTGAATGTCTAATTGCGAACAGAACCTGGATGAGAAAAATTTTGTGTAAACAAAATTTGAAATAATAATTATTATATATTTGTAATAATCTTTTTTAATTAATGACCATAAGTTAAGCCATGCCAACTAGTCAGGCGCTAGATGGGCTGAGGGGTAACCAAGGTGGCAGGTGCAGGTGAAATACCAAGGAAGATAGAGGAATTGCCCACATTGATTGGGAAATGTTGGTGTGAGATGCCAATAAGAGAAGGATGAAGTTATTGGGACGGATCAATACCTGTGATCGCTACCCATACGAAAAGGGGATCTCCCCAATTTGGAAATGTAATTAATTTCCAGAGCCAGATAACAAAAGGGCTCTTGTAGGAAGATAGGGGAAACACTGAATCTCCTAACCACGTCATGCCTCATGCTGGTTTTAAGTGAATGTCAATAAATACAAGGAATCGAAGTGGCCGAGAGAGCAGTTGTTGCAAACGCTGAAACAAGTTATTTCAAGAGATTGTTTGAACAGCTAACAAAAGCTGCAAATTCTTTTAAAAGTATGACTGTTTCTGAGAAAGCTCAAATCACTTATCAAGTCTCAGGAATGATAGCACAAAATATGAAAGCTCATACTTTATGTGAGTCACTTATTTTGCCTGCATGTAAAAAAAATTGTCAGACAATACTGGGTAATGAAGCAGCAATGAACATAAGCAAGATTCCTCTGTCCAACATTACAGTTTACAGACATATTCTAGAAAGGTCTTCAGATATCGAAAAAAATGTATGCAATAATAAACTTCAGTATTCAAATTTTGCATTACAAATTGAAGAATCAACAGACATTATTAGCAAGGTGCAACTATTAGCATTCTTCGTTTTATTAATGAAGACCAAATAGTAAATCCGTTTCTTTTTTTGCAAAGAATTAAGTGTGACTACAAAAGGTGAGGACATTTTTAACATTCTGAATAACTATCTTGATAAATGGCAGATATCATGGAAATTGTGTAGGCATTTGTACAGATGGGGCTCCTTCCATGGTAGGGTTGTATGAAGGGCATTATGTCTTTTTGTAAAAAAACAAAATGAGAATATTATCGTAACTCACTGCTTTCTTCACAAGGAGGCCTTGATGGCAAAAAACATTGGGAGAAAAATTAAGAAGCTTTAGATCAAGTGGTTCAGATGGTAAATTTTATTACAAGACCTGTCAAATTGTGTTTATTCAAACAACTTTGTATTAAAATGGATTCTCAACACAGATGGTTGCTTTTACACACCGAGGTGAGGTGGCTGTCAAGGGGGAAAGTACGTACTCATGTACACGAGTTGCAACAAAAACTTACTGCATTTTTTGAGGAGATGAAACAATTACACTTTTGTGATCTCCTTCAGTGTGAATTTTGGATTGACAGGTTACAGTATTCAGCCAATATATTTCAGCAGCTCAATATTTTAAATACTAGCAAGCAAGGGAAAGAAGAAAATATTCTCACATCCAATGACAAAAAGAAAGCATTTCAGAGAAAACTACAGATTTGATAAAGAAAAGGTGTTGAAGGTAATTTGGAAATGTTTCCATTGGTAAGTAACACTTGCATAAATGAAATCCTTCCAATAATTGTTGAACATTTAACAAGTTTGGAGGAAAAACTGAATTCTTGTTTTCCATCACTTAATACGATTCGATTAGAAACCCATTCATGGAAACTTCAAGTGATTTTGGTTTAACATTAACTGGACAAGAATAACTGGCAGCTACTCTTCAATGTATTAATGAGGAGGAAATAAGAGTTTGCTCATCAAATATATGACCAAACATTGAAGAGCTTGCTAAGACACATCAGGCCCATGTTTCTCATAAACACAAGAATGAATAAACTTAAGTATATTTCATTTTATATTTTTATATTGCATTATTTCTTTTCTGTAATAATTTACTTCATTATTTTTTTCAAAATTTGTATATAGTGGTAGGATTTCAAGTGTGCCCCCAACTTCATAAAGTTTGAAAACCACTGCTCTATTCCTTCATACCACAAGATCAATATAACTCTTAAAATGATTACTATCTTTTAACTGCAATAAGAATACATTAATTTTTATTGCATGAAAAGATGTGGTCCTGTTGGGATATATGAGTTGCCCCCCTTAAAAAGTTAAAAAAAACTCCCAGATCACTTACGTCCCCTTATCTATTTATTATCAAATACCCCTGTTAGAGGTCTCCGGACGAGGCATTAGACCTGGAGTTAACAGAGGGACTCCATGGGTATCCGGCAGTAGGGAATAAATGATTTTAAATAATACCGATCTTGGTCGTCATTATTTACTTTGACTATTTTTCAAATGTTGTTTATGTCTGTCACCAGCAACCAGCGACATAATATAACAGAGTCAATGAAATTATTAAAGCCTTGAAAAGTATGGTTTTGAGCTCAACCTTAAAAGTTTGGGTTTTTATAGCTTTGCAAAGGCTAATCGCAGTAGAATGTGGCCAGTAAGTAGCGTCAGAAACAAAGTAAAAAGTACTTTGTTTCTAATATTTTCCTGTCTTAATACTTTTAGTTTCTTAGTTACCCTGGAACTAACCAACTGCTGCACTGAGACTAAGAAAATGATAAAAACAAAAACCATAATTCAAGGTCCAACAAGAAATCTAAATTTCATGGCATAATCAACATGATTTTAAAAATACTTCTCAAACCAAGCTCCTCAGCTCATGTAAATCAATCACTTCAACAGCCCTCACCAGTCATTAATGAAAGGAGAAAAAGATTTTACAGATTGACATAGGAAAAAAAAAGAAAACTATCATATTTTTCAGATTTATTTTCCATAACAAAAACAAGATGTAAAAATAGAAAAAAATATCAATGATGCGTTACTTCTGAAGCTTCATCGGATTCAGATTCAGATGGCGCAGCTCGTACTTCTTTGTACCATTTGTTTGTTAAATTATCCATTTGATTACGGCCCTCACGAACTTCCTTTAATATAAGGTATATCAATAAAAACATTATGACAATATTACTGTAATATTAATACAATATAAAATCATATTGAAAGACATGTAAACTGTAACATGTAATTAAATATTTTTAAAAGGCATTTGAAACATTTATCACCAGTTTTCAGTTTCAGTGTTCTACAATAAGTCTCACTCTCCTTACTAAAATTTAAAAGAAACAAAAAAAAAAATTTATCTCTCCATTTTTCATTACAAACTCTTTACACTTCATTATGCACTTTAAAATTGTAATATTTCAGTTAATATATTTATTTATTCTGCTGTTATTATTGTTTTATATCACTTGTTATAACTGAACCATTAGTGTATGTAAGTAAAATAAGGTGAAGAAAATCATACATAGTACATTTAATGACATTAGATGTAGAATATATACATGATTTAACCTTTTTACAAATTTATTAATTTTATTATTTATATGAATGTGATCATAAATCCAGTATAGAAAATATTTCTTATATAAAACATTCTTACAATATCTCTATATACTTGATTTTTGAAACCGTAGAACCCTGATACTGAATTTTCTTTTATGTGCTGTGTCTTTTCATACTGTGGCAATCATGTTCTTAAAGTTATTTTGTAGTATTTCAAGGAGTATTTCATTTTTCTTTATTAGGGTATATTAATAAGTGGCAGTACACCTTGAAATTCAATAAAATGAAGATTGATTCAAGGAAATCTTTAATCTTTGCAAGTAGAATTTATCATTATTTCTGCAGAAAGTCTTGTAAACTATGCAGTACAACAGATCCCATATAATATCAATGGCATTGTGATCTGGGGAATTTGGTAAACTGTAAAAACTTCATGTGGCTAACATGCATTAGTACAGATGCAAAAGAGGCACCAGATATGTTTATCAACACCAGTTACATCAGGGTCTTCACCATTAGCAGCAAGACAGCCTTGCATGTCTAGATCCGGATCTTTGTAAGATGCCTCATACTAATTAAAAGCAACTGGAAAACCAGCAGTCAGTGGGCATTTTGTTTCTAAAGTTGCTATGGTTTCCAAGGCAGTGTTATTTTTTGTTACCTCTCATCTCTCTTCACTCTGCCTATTACCCATTTAGTTGCTGGGAGATCAACTGGTTCTCACAATCTCAACATACTCTTGCTGTACATTACAACACTTTATGTTCCTGAAACCATTTCCATATAACTTGTACAGGATGTATTAGGTGTCACTGCTGTTGTAGAAGAATGTTGCCATGAAGAAATGTACATGATCTTTGTTATTATTGAGTTAGATGGTGGACAAAAAAGTACTCTACAATTCTCAACAGAATGTTACCCAAATCATCACACGGCCTCCAATTGCCTTCCTGCAGTGAAAATAATGCACTTGCCATCTATATATATTTTCCAATATATAAAAATGTTTACTCATCTAACAGTTGGAAATAAATGCAGTATGATCATATTGGAGTCCATTTGTAATTATATTTTCACAAGTTACCTGTTCAAGCAGGTAGGAAAATAGTTTACCTTGTGCTTTAATTCCAAATAGTTTTTGAAGTACAAGTAAAAACCTTTATATATATCAGTGACGACTTTAGCTCATCAATGTTACTCAGGTTGAGTACAATTTTTTAACAAAATTAAGTATATATATATATATATATATATATATATATATATATATATATATATAATTTAGGATACTATATTCAACAATCTGTCTAAAAATACACTTACCAAGATTGTAACAAGAATGACAAGCCATTGTATGGAGACTAACTTGATTATTTCCCTTATCTATAGAATTGTTCAAACTAATGAGAGTTGGACAAGTTATCTGACCAAAAATTTTAAACTACTGTCTTACATTAATCCTAAACAGGAGACAATTTGTGCAAATATTTTTCAATGGGTGACAGCAATATTTTGAAATGTTGGTTATCTCATATGCATTTATTTAGCAAAATACAGATTGCTATTATTTAGTTTGTAATTCAACCAAAGACACAAAATTTCACTTGCAATCTTTTTTTATAAGAAAACTCATTTTGTGACTCTTTACAAAAAGACTCCTTGTTACAAAAGAAATATTACTAACACCTACACTGCATTTCTCTAGTTTCTTTGTTTCTTACAGTAAAAACCAAAAGACTAAACAAATTTGTCAAAATTTGCAACATAAATTTAATCTATAAATTTTAATGCTCATTAAGATTTTTTTAAATTGCTAAACAAAAACTGAAATTTATTTTTAAAAAAATGTAGTATATAGCATTTTACAATAATCACCCAAAAGTGTAAGAACAGAAAAACAATTTTCTCTGCTGAGTAAATTCACTTTTGTGGACATTATTTTCCTAAAATATATTTTAAACTTTTGTTCAGAAAATAACCATATTTTTTTAATAAATATAGAAAATATATCAAAAGAAGACAAACTAAAAATGAAAATTAAATACACCATTTATCTATCTGTTTGTATATTTTTGCAAAGTAAATAGTGAAAGTATTTTTGCAAAAAATTCTATTCTGATCCTATATAAACAGAAACATACTTTATTACAATTCAAATGTAAAATGAACTTTTCTTTGAGAGGAAATCAACATTTAATTAAAGAATCTAAATTATATTTTTTTGTAAAACATTATTCTTTTTTTATACAGAAATTTTGGTTTATGAAATATCAATTTGAATTGATTTAGGAACATAATTCAGACAATTTCGGATGACAGATTTAAATTTTGATAATCAGACACACAGGACTAAAAATGGAAACTAACTGGAATGAAAGTCACAAAATGCAATTTACAATAACATTTTCACGAAGTGCATAAAAATGTGAAGGAAGTCATATCTTCCAGGTTTAAGAGTTTTTACACAAAAAAAAAAAAAAAAAAAAAAAATAATTTTAATATTTTTTTACTAAAATAAATAACATTTTAAATTATTTAAGATGAATGAAATTTTTTCTTTTAAACTTGAATGAAGAAAGCATTTTTCTTTTTGTAATATTTACATAATTATATTTTAATATTTAAGTTTTAAAGCACACTAGATAATGTCAAGTGTCAATGCAAATTTCAGAAAATTACCAAAATCATGGGATACTAAATGCTAAAGTAGGAAAGAAACGAGATAGAGAAATAATTGGCAAGTATTGATGAGGATCCTGTAACAAGCATAGAGAAGAATAGGTCCAATGGGGAACAGCAAACAACCAAATAATAACCAACAATTGGATTCAAGATACCAAAGGTGCTGGTGGACATGAAGAAATCCAGGAGGAAACATGAAAAACCAAGCAGACTGCATAACAGTCAATAAAAGATTTAAGAATACAGATCTACAATCTAAAACTTACCCAAGTGCTAACTGTAGGAGCAAACAGCTTCCAGTCATATGCAAACTCACACAAAATTATGTAAATCAAAGAGAACCAAAGCCATGTCTAAATGACTGAAAGTGCCAACAGATGCATAGCAGAGATGAAACATAAGCAATGAGAAAGTTTGAAAGAAAATGTAAAAAAGACACTCTCTGAACAATCAGAAAGAGTTGACATTTTTGGGACACATAATGAGGAAGGGCAACTTGGAAAATGTTACACACACACAGAACATACTGAAGGCAAGAGGTGTAAAGAGAAGCAACAAGTAATCTACCTAACAAACTTGTGGAAATGAATAGTAGAACAAAGTCTCGGAGGAAGAGTAAGGTGACAGAGTTATGAAGGATAGGAAATTGTGAAGAGCCATGATCACCAACATCCTGCAGAGAGACAGTTCATGAAAGAAGAATATTTTAATTAGTTTATCTAATATTCAGTATGCCAAACTAAAAGTTTATTTTCAATTTATCCAAAAACTTTTAATACAGACACAACTTGACAAAACAAAAAATGATACCAAATTTATCTTGGTAGCTCAATTAGCAACAAAACTGTGACCAAAGTTAGTCAGATGTGCTATTTGGCCAGAAGTCAATTTTAACAGTGTATAACTGAAGATGAAGGATTCAAACAAGTGAAAACTCATTATAAAGGTAATGTTACATATGTCAACTTGAAGTAAAAGAAACATTTATGGAATCAATAATTATTAAATCTTATCAGCCTAAACATTAGGAAAAACTGCATTCTCAAAAATGAAATAGTTAAAAAAAATAAAAAAATAAATAAAAAGATGAAGTTATTTTTTTTCTTCATCAATAACAAACTCCTTTTTACACCATGGGAAAACAGCCACAGGTGCAATTTTACAGTAGGGCAAAAACATGTTAAAAGTATACTATCCTGAACTTGCCATAAAAAATACCTGAAACACTGAAAATTTATTAATTTTGGAATGAGAAATTCAACAAAGCAGCTGCTATCTTTAATATGAATGTGTTTTGTCAGATGTCTCTACTTTTCTAATTTTGGAAAATTCTGTGAAATTATGCAATTTTTGACTTGTCAAAAAAGGATAGAAGTGACTACAAAACTTAGAAATTTGTTCCATAAAAGGAATAATTGGTCAAGTCTTCAGACAAATGCTTATTGTAAAGTTTATTTATTATCAAACTAAAAAAATGTCTTCAGTTTGCTTATTCCAATTAGAAGAAAACTCCCCTATCTCTTCTGCTTTCAATATGCCTGGTGAGGATTAAGTTTTCCAAGCCCTCTTTTTCCTCATTATGTCCTTTAAATATCAGCTGTCTCTTCCTGATTGAGTATGTGTTTTTTTTATTTTTTTTTATTTTCTTTAAAACTTCTTCATTGCTTACTCTCTCTGGTCATGAAATTATCAGTATCTTCTGTAGAACCAAATTTCCATTGCCTCCAGTTTTCTCTTCATCTGTGGAGAGATTGTCCAGCATTCATTTCCATATAACAGGAGGGATATCGCATAGCAATCTAGCAGTCTTTTTTTTGGTTTCTAACAAATAAAAGAATTAACAAAAAAAAAAGATGAGCCAATCTATAAAATCAAAGGAAGGATCACTGATAATAGAAAA